CTTTATCTTAAGAGCATTTCAACTTTACCTTTAGTAATTTTGAAATAAACAGTAAGTTATTAACTAAGCTACCTATTTGGCTACTGAACACTAGATTTTATTCCTTTTATCTAACTGTATTTTTGTACCAGAATTAATGTTTTAAGAATAGAAGAATACAGTATGACCCTTGATTTAGTTGTATTCTTGGACTCCTTTCATCTGTTTTGTGTTTTTCAGTGTGTACTTTTACTTTGACAGATTTAACCACAATCATTGTTTTGGATACTATTGCATACAATGTTTTTTATTTCATAATCATAAACTGTTACTAGTCTGTAGAAATATGATAGAGTTTTGTAGTTGGCCTTGCATTTTGTGACTTTGTACTTGTTATGTCTAGTATCTTTTAAAATATTATTTTAAAATATTATTCTATGTAAAAAGTTTTCTTCTTTTAAAATTTTCTATCTGCATGCATTCTACGTTTTTTTCTTGTCTTACTGAACTTGCTAGAACCCTCAGTAAAATATTGGATAGAACTGGTACAATAATAAAATATATCTTTGTTTGTAATTTTTAGGTAAAATTAATAATAGTTGTTTGAAATTATTGGCAGATTTTCTCTGACTGATGTTTTATTTTTAGTTTCCTGAAATGATTTAGCATAAAAAATGCCACATTTTGTTACTTTTTATTTTACATCTATTAAAGTATGGCTTCTGGTTTTTGTCTGTTGATATTCTGAATTGCAATGATGAATTTTTTAATACTGATTCAAACTTAAATTTTCTAGAAAAAAATTCTACTTGGTCATAATATATATTTAACATATTGAATTTTCTAAAAAATCATACATGGACATGATATATTATTTATTTTACAAGTATCTTAAAGAAGAGCATTGCTCAGTAGTTTCCTTTTTATAATGTCTTTATTGATTTTAGAATCAGGGTAATACTGGTAATATGAGTTGAGAAGTGTTACCTCCATTTCTGTATTCTGAAAAAGTTTTGTGAAGAATTGGTATTCATTTCTTAGACCTTTGGTAGAATTTGTTTTGTAATTCTATATAACCTTGAGTTAAAATGTCTTATTGATGTAGTCAACTCATTTAGTTGCTATGACTTATTAGGTTTATATATATTTTTTCTTAAGTGAGACAAGGCAGGCTGTTCCTTCTATTTGTCTTTTGGATCTCTTCCAAGTCATATAATTCACAGGCATAGAGCCATTTTAAGTATTTTAGCATATAGTACTTTTATAGTAAATTATTATTACCACATGTCAAAAAAGAGACCTGATGATTGGTGATTGGATCAGAGGGACAGTTTCCCCCACACTATTCTTGTAATAGTGAGTGACTTCTCATGAGACCTGATGATTTTAAAAAGTGTAAGTCTTCTTTGTTCTCTCTCACTTGCCACCCTGTAAGACATGCCTGACTTCCCCTTCTGCCATGAATATAAGTTTCCTGAGGCCTTCCAAGCCAGGCAGAACTGTGAGTGAGCAAAACCTCCTTTCTTTATAAATTACCCAGTTCCAGGTAGTGCCTTTATAGCAGTATGAAAATGGATTAATGCAGAGAATTGCTACTAGGAGTTAGGTACTGCTATAAAAATAACCTGAAAATGTGAAAGCGACTTTAGAACTGGGTAATAGGTAGAACTTGGAACAGTTTGGAAAACTCAGAAGAAGACAGGTAGATGTGCAAATGTTTGGAAATTCCTAGAGACTTATTCAATGTTTTTTACCAAAATATTGATAGTAATAGGGACAAGGAAGTCCAGACTGAGGTGGTCTCCAATAGAGATGAAGAACTTACTGGGACCTGGGGTAAAGGTCACTCATGCTATGCTTTTGCAAAGAGACCGGTGGCATTTGTCCCTGTCATAGAGATCTGTGGGACTTTGAACTTGAGAGATCATTTAGAAGATCTGGTAAAAGAAATTTTCTAGGCAGAAAGCATTCAAGAGGTGACCTGGTTGATTCCAAAAGCATTCAGTTATATATACTCAAAAGAGATAGTTTGAAATTGGAACTTACATTTAAAAGGAAGCAGAGCATAAATGTTTAGAAAATTTGTAACTTGATCTTGTGACAGAAAAGAAAAACCCATTTTCTGGGAAAGAATTCAAGCCAGCTACAGAAATTTGCATAATTGATGAGGGCCCAAAAGTTAATTGCCAAGACACTGGGGAGAATATCTCTACGGCATTTCAGAGATCTCCATGGGATCCCCTCACACCACAGGCCTTGAGGCCTAGGAGGAAAAAGTGGTGTCATGGGCTTCGACAAGGACCTTGCTGCTCTGTGAAGCATCAGGACTTGGTGCCTAGCATTTTAGTCACTCCAACTCCAGCCATGGCTAAAAGGAGCCAAAGCACAGCTTGGGTTGTTGCTTTTAGGGTGCAAGTTCCAAGCCTTGGTGATTTCTATGTGATGTTGGGCCTGTGGGTGTACAGAAGGCAAGAGGTGAGCTTTGAGAATCTCCACCAAGATTACAGAGGATGTATGATAACATCTGGATGTCCAAGCAAAGTCTGGTACAAACCTTATAAAGAAACTTTGCTAGAGCAGTGTGGAAGGCAAATGTGGGGTTGAAACCACCAAATAAGTCCCCCCGGGGCATTGCCTAGTAAAGAAGGGGGAAGAGAGCTACTGTCCTCCAGACCACAGGAAGGTAGATCCACTGACAACTCACACCCTGTGTCCGGAAAAGCCAAAGACATCAAATGCCAGCCAGTAAAAGTGGCCACAGTGGGGATACCTGGCTTAGCCACAGGGTCAGAGCTGCCTAAGAATGTAGAAACTCACCCTTTGCATCAGCATGTCCTCGATGTGAGACATGGAGTCAAAGAACATTATTTTGGAGCTTTAAGATTTAAGGACTGTCCTGCTGGGTTTTGGATTTGCATGGGGCCTGTAGCCTCTTTGTTTTGGCCAATTTCTCCCTTTTGGAATGAGAGCATTTACCCACTTCTTTATGCCCACTGTATCTTGGAAGTAACTAACTTGCTTTTGATTTTACAGGCTCATAGGCAAAGGCACTTGCCTTGTCTCAAATGAGACTTTGGACTTGGACTTATAAGTTAATGCTGGAATAAGTTAAGGCTATGGGGGACTATTGGGAAGGCATGATTAGTTTTGAAATGTAAAAAGCATGTGACATCTGTGAGGGGCACGGGTGGAATGATATGCTTCAGCTCTGTGCTCCAATCCAAATCTCATCTTGAATTGTAATCCCTATGTATCCAGGGAGGGACCTGGTGGGATGTGATTAGATCATGGGGGTGGTTTTCCTCATGCTGTTCTCATGATGGTGAGTGAATTCTTATGAGAGCTAATGGGTTTTGTTTTTGTTTTGAGGTGAAGTTTCACTCTTGTCACCCAGGCTGGAGTGCAATGGTACAATCTAGGCTCACTGCAACCTCTGCCTCCAGGTTTCAGCAATTCTCCTATCTCAGCCTCCTAAGTAGCTGAGATTACAGGTGCCTACCACCATGCCCAGCTAAAATTTGTATTTTTAATAGACACAGGGTTTCACTATCTTGGCCACGCCAGTCTCAGACTTCTGACATCAGGTAATTCAACCGCCTCAGTCTCCGAAAGTGCTGGGATTACAGGTGCAAGCCACCGTGTTCAGCAGAGAGCCAATGGTTTTAAAGCGTGGCACTTCCCTTTGCTTGCTGTCTCTCTCCTGTCACCATGTAACATGTGCCTTGCTTCCTTTTCCCCCTGTGCTATAATTTTTGGTATCCTGAGGCCTCCCCAGCCATGTGGAACTGTGAGTAAATTAAACCTTCTTTCTTTATAAATTACCCAGTCTTCAGTAGTATCTTCTTAGCAATGTGAAAATAAATTAATGCAGTAGGATCTAAATTGAGCTTCATTTATTCTCATTATTTTTAGTGTTTATGTCTTATTTTTCTTGGTTAGTGTAGCAAAATATCTATCAATTATATCAATTGTTTTAAATAACCAGCTTTTAGCTATTTTGATTTCTCTATTTCTTTTCGGGTTTCAATTTAATTGACATTTTCCCTTTTCTGTATTATTAGCTTCTTCATGTTTTTAGTTTCTGAAGTTGGAAGTTCAGATTTTTTATATGTGTGTGAGTGTCCATTTTGTAAAACACTCAAAGTTTTTAAAGCCCTCTAATTTATTATTTTTAAAAAATATTTTAACTTTTATTTTAATTCAAGGTTATATGTGCACGTTTGTTATACAGGTAAACTCGTGACTCTGGGGTAGACGTACAGATTATTTTGTCATACTAAGCATAGTATGTAACATTTATTTCTTCTGAATTGCTTCCTCCTCCCACCCTTCTCCTGCAAGTTGGTCTCAGTGTTACTTCTCTAGCCCATAGATTATTTTTAGGTGTGTTGTCTAATTTTCAAATATTAGGCAATTTTTCTAGATATATTTGTTATTTATATTCTAATAACACACAATTGTATAATTTGAATTTTTCAAGTTTGTTTATGCTTGCTTTATTACTTTAGAATATTTTATAACTTTGCAAATGTTTCATGAGTCTTTGAAAAGAATGCATATTCTAATGTTGTGGAATAAAATATACTATAATCTCACTGAAATTCTCTGATCAATGATTGTTTCCAGCTACATTTTTGGATTTGTCTATTTCTCTTTTTATTTATTTCAACTGTTGTCTCATGTATTTTAAAGCTTTTTTGTTCAATCAATGAAAATTATATTATTATACCTTGCTGGTGAATTGATCACGATATCATTGTAAAAAGACTTTTATCTGTTTATCTTTATTCTATATAATCTTTCTTTGTCTGAAGTCTATGTTTTTAGATACTTATTATAGCCTTGCCACCTTTCTGTAAATAGGTGTTTGAGTAACATTTGCTCCATAATTTTAACTTATTTATTTTTTACATTTAAAGTATGCTTACTGTAAAAAACATAAAAGGAAGGCTCCGTTTTTTATCTTTATTTATTTATTTATTTATTTATTTATTTATTTATTTATTTATTGAATGATTCAGTCCCCATAGAGACAGCCAAAAATTGCCAACATCGACTATATTTCTAGTCCTCATGGCGGGGTATCAGGAATAGTTTTCAATTAGCAATAATCATCCCTCAGATAAACTTCATTGGCTATGATGCTGCCACTGCACAAATCTGTTTTTAATCATTTAATTTCTGTCTCTTAATTGGCATGTTGTTACATTTGCATTATTATATTTAATATAATATTTAATAGTCTATCATCTCTATAGCTATATTCTGTTTACTCTTTTTGTTTTCTTTTCTTTACTAGGCTATTTTTTATCATTACAATAAAATTATTTTTCTCTTGTATTCACTTATTATTTGTGTTTCCTTTACAGTTTTATATAGTAATTTGTCTTTGGTGTACTATATATCTTTAATTAGTTGCATCTTTATCAAATAATATTAAACTGTTTAAAAATATCTTTCTATTGTCTTCTGATGTTCATAATTTATCACAAGAAGTCTGCCATACTTGTTTTTATTCATCGTTATATGCTATGTCTTTGTTCTTTGGTATTTTCATGGTTTTCTCTTTATCGTTGGTTTGGAGAAGTTTAAATGTTTGTCTAAGGGAGTGTGTGTGTGTTTTTTATTTCACTTTGTACCACTCAACTGGAATCTCTGTTATTTATTTTATCAACTATGAAAATTCTCAGCCACAGTTCTCTTTAGATATTTCTCCTTCCTGTTCTCTCCCTTACTGTGAGTATTCTGATTATTTCTATGTTAGACTATTGGTATTGCACCACAGATACTGGATGCTCTGTTTAGTCTTTATTCTCTCTTCTCTCTCTTGGTGTGTAGTTTGGCTAATATATATAGACTCATTCTCACGTTTACTTCTATTCATTGGTCGTGATGAGCTCCTCATAGATATTATTCATATCTGTCTCTCTTTTCATTTCTAGCATTTTCATTTGCTTCTTTCTTCAATTCAATCTCCTTTTCCCACTTTCTCCTGTAGCCTCCATTTCTCTAATCACTTTCATGCTCTTCTGTTTATGTATGTGGCTTATCTTCTCCACTAAGACTTTTAACAAGTAACTATTTAAATTTTCTGGTATTTTAAACATTTCTGTCATATTTTAGTCTGGTTTTATTGACTGCTTTGTGTTTTCATTGTGTGAGGTTTTTCCCTTGCTTCTTTGTGAGTCTCATGATTTTTTAATGAAATCCAATATTTTATATAAAATAGTAGGTAAGAGGCATTTATGTCTGGAAATGACACTTTTCCCCCCATTAGGCCATTTGTGTGTGGGTTGAGTCAATCTAGCTAGGAGCTGAATTGGCCTTAGACTTTTTGTTCCTATGTTTATCCTCTTTGTACCACAAGTTCAAAGTCTTCTAATATTACCTTGGGCTTACTGTAAGGCTGGCTTGCCAGATGGTTCTTCACAAATATGTTTTACACCCTTAGCTTTAGGTCTTCTTTTTGTGGCCTTTGTGTGTGTGTTGGGGGGGGGGGGTAGGGGTTCCATATCTCATATTTCCCATATTCCAGCTGTAAGTGTTGTCATTAGCCCTCTGTAGGCTGATTAGCTGGAAATTAAGGTGGTGTTTGCTGTATTTTACTTTATCTTTGGTGGGTGCTGAGGTTGGGCTTTCTAACAAACTCATCCTCTCCCTACTGTTAGAGTTGTCTAATGATCAGGCTTCCCAAAGTTTTCCTGCACTTCCATCATGGGTTGAGGGTAATAATAGTTTAGCTTGCCTCTTCCTATGAGAAAGAAGGTCTGGGAGGTGGGATTCTGAGCGTTTCCCTACCCCACTGAAGGGGCTTATTTACACTCACTTCACATATCCACAGTCTTTCTCATGAGCATTATTTAGTGGAGATCCAGGGAAATGAGCCTTTGAGTGAGAGCAATTCCTTCATGTCTGGAAGTTCAAAGAGTTCTATATACTAGTCTGCACTCAGCATTTAGCAATTCATAACATTCTTAGCTAGTTTGTTCTTCGCTATTTGCAAATTGTCAATACTTCTTCATATGGTCTCTTTAGCAACTCTCTTTCTCCTTAGAATTCAGGCTACTTGATTGCCCTCCTACTTTAGCTATCTGAACTCTGTAACGATTCAGAGAGTCATGGGGTAGTAGTTAACCCTAGAGTCCTTTGCTTACTGAGGTGGGGGTTGTACTCTGCAGCTTCCTATATCCTAGATGCAAAACTTAAATTGTTGAGAGTTGCAATGTAACCACATTTTTGAAGCAAATTGCCACTATATACTATGGTTTTATGTTTGGATGATACTTTTATCTTAGTTCTACATATAATATGTAGAAATATACAGGATTTATACTAATGCTTCTCTACTAATTTTGAAAATTTGAAGTTTTATTTCTAGTAGATGCATAAGAAAAAGCTCATGGAAAATAGTATTTTTATTTTCAAAGTTATTTTGTGATAAAAACAGTTATATTCTATTTTTATACTGGAAAAGCAGTTTGGTGGACTATAATGTCTTTGGCTCATACTTTTTCTCTCTTATATATCTAATAGGATCACATATTGTCTTTTGATATAAAAATTTCTGTCTAAAATTCATATTTCAGTCTTATTTCATTTCTATTGATGTTGATTTTGGTCTTTCTATCTAGATGATAAAAAGCTGGGTTTTTTTCTAACAGTTTTATTATTTTATTGCTGTTCAATTTCAACATATTATTTCTTGATATCCATCCCTCATTTGTACTTATACACATATATAGTCATTATAATGATATTTTTAAGGTTTGTTTTCTACATTGTTACTTCTCTTTGTTTTCCTAAGTATTCCTATTATGCATATGCTTGATCCTCTTTGACTTTTGTCCTTTTCTCATGAATTATTTTTTATCACCTGTTCACTTTTTAAGTAATTTTATTTTCACAGATTATGTATTGTTTTGTGCATATTTATTTTTGTATCTCTTGTGTTTTAGTATGAATGAGAAGTGCTTTTGTTTGTTTACTGTCTTTAAAAAAAATCTATTTAAATTTGGGATCTTGCTATGTTGCTCAGGCTGCTCTCAAACTCCTGGCTTCAAGTAATTATCCCAACTAAGGTCTTCTAAAGTGCTGAGGTTACAGATGTGAACCCCATGTCTGAATTATTTTAATTTTTACTTTTATTTAGTGATATAACTAATTTGAAATATTTTTAGTCTTAATGTATGTTGATCTTGGATTTAGTCCAAGATTTTCTTATTTTGGTGAGCTGAGAATATTAGGTTACAATTTTATCTATTTGGTGGTCATTTTTAACTGCATTCTTACACTTTTGGAAGGATATTATACATTTTTTTTTAATTCAACTACATATTTATGTGTGTGTATATATATCACATTTTCTTTATCCTTCCATCTATCAATAGACCTTTGTGTTGTTTCCAAACACAAAGTTCTTGGCTATTGTGAATAATGCTGCAATGAACATGAGAATACAAATATCTTTTTAAAATCCTAATTTCATTTTTTAAATATATATACACATAAGTAAGATTAAAGTATTATATAGTAGTGGAGAAATGAGATAAAATATGCTCCAAATGGGGTGATTAAAGTCATCACTTACAGCTAAAACTGGTAGTAAAACACAGTTCTTTAAAGCAGAACTTTGCTCTCTGAGTAATAAAGCAAAACAGTCCATTACATGAGTAATAAAGCAAACAGTCCCTTACCTGGGTCAATTATGTGTTCATAGTTTGACATTGTAAACTTTTCTGGAGATGCTTCTTACCACAAATTAATGTGAAAGAAAATTTTGAACTAAGGGTGCCAAAAATTGCTGTATTTATGGAAAAAACTTTTGTTTGTGAGACAAGATGAAGAAAGTCAGTTTTAATTCCCAACAGCTCTAAACGTGTTAATGTATATATACTTGGAGGAATAATGATTTTTTAAAAGGAAGTAACATTTAGCAGTGGACAGGCACTACCTTAATCAAATCATTAAATTTAATGTCACTAAAAATGGATCAAACTGGCATGATGTACTTGGCAATATGAAACAATAGAAAGTAAGTAGTATCACCAATATAGTATAGCTAATAAAAGTTTAAATCTGAATCTAACAATAAAAATTATTAGACAAATTAGAATTGTGTAACAGTTTGTAAAAACACTGACATGGAATATTGAACAATGTCAAGTTAATAAAAGACAAAAGCCTCAGAGAACTTTGCTGAGTTAAAGGAGATTAAAAGAACATAACAAAATGCAACCCAGGATTAGTCACTGGATTCTAGACAAAAAGATTTTAAAAAATAATAAAAGCCACGGGAAAAATTGAAGGAATCTGAATATTAATTGAATAGATGGCAATAGTATATTCATATAAAATTTCTTTGGTGTGATAATGATATTTCAGGTTTTTTTTTAAATGCTGAAATACATGGTGTGAAATGCAATGTTATCTGTGACATTTTTCTATGTTTTGGCAAATATTTTCGCGTGTGTGTGTGTGTGTGTGTGTGTGTGTGTGTGTTGTGTGTGTGTGTATTGTGTGTGTGTGTCTATTTTATCTTGATATTCAGCATGGCATTCCTTTTCACCTATCCTCATGTTAGTATCATGTTAAGAGAGCTGATTCATCATGGACTCATTCTTATCTATGTTTAGAATCCTTGATGTGGTATCAGCTAAAATACGGGAAATCTAGACAAATTCATGTGTCATCACAGATTACCTGATACTTGAGCAACTATGTCAAACTGAAAATTAGGAACAAGAGACTGTCTTTTGATTAAAATAAATTTGGGCAACGGAAAACTCTTGTGGATGTTCATTTGGCCAAGGAATGCTAAGAGGAATTACACAAGAAGCTTTATCAATGCAGCTATTAGCATCTCAGAAGTAAAGATTTCAATGCCATGTCAGTAACTGTTCATCTTTTTCCAAAAGCTAATACAATTTTCTTTGTTCAATTACTTTTATGTTTTATCAAATACAATTAACAGTTACTGTGTTGGAGGCTGTATTTTTTTAATTATGTACATTGTAAATATTAAGTTAGTTTATTTGACTTTTATGACATTATGAAATAGGTACGATTATTGTTTCTATTTTTCAGAAGAGAAATTTGAGGCAAAGAGATGTCAGTTGCTTTGCCCAAGATCACACAGGTAGTTAAGTGACAAAACAGGAACGCT